CTCATAGCAACACCATGTAAAACAGAATGAAACACTGCCTGGTCCTGTGCCAGCCTCACAGTCACTGCTATGCTTGAGCCCATTACCGCAGCCACTGTGTGAATTCATCTTGTTGAGGGGCTTCCTCTGCTTCACTGACCCTTTATTTACGGTTCAAACCCACCAGCCACTCCTCGGAAGGAAGGTTGGGCAATCCTACTTCCGTAGTGATAACTGCCTCGGAAACCCAAGGAGGGGTCGCTAGGAGTCGGGGCCGACTCTATGGCAAATAACAACAACAACAACAACAAGATGTACTTTTGAAAAAAATCAGACAGTTCTAAGTGTGGTGTACATCACAAGTTGGGGACTACCTGTGCTACTAAAGGAGCTCTGGTGACATAGTGGGTAAGGCGTTTGGCTGCGAACCAGAAGGTCAGTGGTTCAAGCCCATCAGCTGCTTTGTAGAAGGAAGATGGAGCAATCTCCTTCCATAAAGATTTACAGCCTTGGAAACCCACTGGGGGTTGCTATGAGTCAGAATCAACTCGATGGCAGTGGGTTTGTGCTGCTGAATATATAGTGCCTGATACACAGTGGAGACTGTAAACAGCAAGTCCTCTGGAGTCAGACTGCCTGGGTTTTGAATACTGATTCTGCTGCTTACTAAGGTGGGTGATCTCAACCATGTTGCCTACTCATTTTTGTGTCTCGGTTTCCTCATTAGTAAAAATGGAGATAATCATGGTACCTGCATGAGAGAGTCATTATGAGGTTTAAATGTATTAAATGTGTGATCTATTAATATATGTAAATCTCTTAAATAGTGTGTCTGGTACATATCAGGCATAATACATAAACATAACTATGGTTTTATTATTGGTCAATACATGAGGGATAAAGGTAGCTTAGAGAAGGATGCTTTGTGGGGGAGGAGAAGGTTAATCCCTGAGGGAGCACTGCTCTCTCTACGTAAGGTTTCCCTACCTGTCCTCAGTCTCAGAGCCCCTGTACCCTATATCTTACCTGTACTTCAGATGTCTAGCAAACCTCACTCCTAGCCCCTCCTCACAATGGGTAATCTCATACTTCAAACAAAAATTCCCATCCCATTGTTGGCTCTCAGGTGTCCAATGGTGACAGAGTCAGCGGTAGTGTCTCATGAAGAACAGAGCCAGGGCTGTGCTGTCTGTCACTGCTGCTCACCAGAGGCCCAGCCTCCCCATGACCTTCCTTCTGAGGAGTGGGCACCCTCACTGTCATAGGTGACTTGTCTGAGTTTCCACTTCCTCAAGCTATATTCATGTGCTCTTGGCTTAAAGTACCCTTCAGGTTCCTGGTCCACATCATCCTGGGAATGACTGTCATGCTTTTTCAAATGGAGAATGGGCCCTCATCCTGAGCCAGGGAGAGGTTGCCAGGGAAAATGAGTGGAGTCTCTCAGACACATTGGCACTTTGTTGCCCAGTAGAAAGATAAACATCACTGACAGCTGCTCCCCCCAGGGCCTAAAGGCTGAGAGACATTTCTCACCCTCAGCCTCTGAGTGCCCAGCTTTCTGCAGATTGGGAATGGAGCTCACTGTCTGCCTGCTGGTCACTTGCTCTGAGGATCATTCTTGTGTCCAGGGAGCTGCTGAGCAACTCAGTGTAACTGGGTGACTGTGTCAACAGCTTGGGATCAAAGGCCGCAAGAGGCAGAGTCTACCCCCTGTGCCAGAGCAGAGGGTGACAATGCTCAGCTGCCAGCCTCACACCCTCCACACTGAGCCCTGCTCTAGGCAACAGACCTCTGACAGTTTGTCCCTTAGATTTCTCAAGTACAGGATGGGGGACTAGAAGTCTCCATGTGAGACTGTCTCAGCTGGGTGCCCTTAGAGTGGGCACAGGAAAGCTCATGCCCAGTGAATGGGGTCAAGAGAGGCTGAAGTTGGGTGGGTGGCTCTGGAAGGCAGCCAGTGGGAAAGAGACATTGCAGCAGGCACCAAAGGACTTGAAGCTCACACACACATATGGTAATCCCAGGCACCCTTCTCTCCAGAGTGCTCCTGCTTTTACCAGTCACATCTTTTCCTCCATCAAGGAGACCTAGGATACTTTCCACCTACATTACAATATCTATGCCCAGAGATGGATGGAGACTAGGGCCTTCCGAGGAAGATCCTGGCCCTGGGCCCTTCTTGTTCCTCCAGAGCAGGAGCTGGGCTGAGTGTGCAGAGGTGGTTAAGAGGGGAGACAGTGACATCAGGGCCTTGAGGGAGTTTCTCCTGTGGGCCAGTTTCACTGCTAGCTCTCACACCCAGCAATATCAATAAAACTGATGATAATAATTAAGGCTATATAATCACTGTGTGTATTTATTTATCCCCAAGAAGCTTATTTTCCCTGGCCCCCATCATTACCTATTCCATCCTTTAGCTAGGTGGTGGGTGTCAAGTATGGCTCCAATAAAAAATAATAACTGCCCATGTTTCCAGTCACCTACAGCCCTGGACAGTTCTGCTCTCACCCTCACCTCAGCTCTGTGAGGTGGAAGGGGGGATGTGCAGGGTGGGGGATAATGTTCTCCCCCCCTTTCAGGGAGGGAACCTGAGGCACTAATCAAAAGGTAGCACAAAAAATGAAACTCCACATGCTAAATTGTAGAAGCAGCAATGTTTGCCTTTTTTTTCTTTTCTTTTTTTTTTTTAAGAGTCCCTGAGTGTCACAAATGGTTTGTGCTCAACAACTAACCTAAAGGTTGGGAGTTCAAACCTACCCAGCAATGCCGTGGAAGAAAAGTCTGGTGATCTGCTTCCATTAAAGATCACAGCAAAGACAATTCTATGGAGCAGTTCCACTCTGTAACATATGGAAGCACAATGAGTCAGAATCTACTTCACAGCAACAGGTTGGGCTTTTTGAGTGGAGCAAACAGTTAAGCACTCGACTAATGGAAAGTTTGACAATTCAAACCCATCCAGACTCATCTCTGAAGAAAGGCCTTGCAGATGGGTGATCTGCTTCCGAAAGGTCACAGCCATGAAAATCCTTTGGCATATGGGTCAACTCTGAAACACATGGCATCAACTTGATGACAACAGGTTGTTTGTCCACCCACCCCACCTCTCTCAGAAGAAGTTCTCCAGTTCTCTGTCCACCTTCCAGGGCTGCTCTCAGCCAACTCCTCAGAAGACAGATCAAGCCAAACACTTAACCATCCATCCAGCAATAAACGCCATTGTACTAAGTTTCCAGTAATGGAGTGACAGGAGTCTCTGGGTGCTGCAAACGGCTGAGTGCTAGATGCTAGCAGGACTATTAGCGGAAAGGTTGGTGCTTGGAACCCATACAGAGGAGCACTGTTCTACTCTGCATTAGGTGACCATGAGTTGGAATGACTCTAGAGCAACTAACACCAATAACATTGGGGTGACAGTTGGGCAAGTTTCTTTCCATCACTGAACTTATTCCTTAATGAGAAAAAGGATCTTTGTAAAGATTAAGGCTCTGTGTGCAGAAATGCACTACAAAATATCATTGTTTATAGTATAGTCATGCACCTCATAATGTCCATTTGGGCAATGTCTGAGAGCATACTTCCCTGTAGAACCTCTATAAAGACTATTACTTAAAATTTTACAGTCCATACAATGGTTCATAATGACAAACGGGCACTACTTTGTGACACACATCAAAACATTATTAATATTACTGTATTTTATGTTAAAGATGTTTTAGGGTATCTGGAAGTATTTCTTTAATGCTTTTTTGTGCATAGAAAGGTACACTACATATTATCTACTAAGACAAACATTTGACTAACTTATGTTAGATACCATCTGTACTTACTTTCTGATATATGTACAAATTTGACTTAAAGACAGACTTAGGAATCTTTAGTAATCTAAGGACTGCCTGCGTATAATATGCTGTTCACACAATGTCCAAATCACATAACAGAACGTATCATGAACGTGAAGCTCACATGACTGTATTAAGTTTTCAGGGATATTTGTGTACTTGGCTCAGAGGAATGGGTAGAATTTCAAATACCTCCAGTGATGAAGGGATGAGGATTCTGCTCAATCTCTCAGATCACCGTGGTCAGACTGCCAAGGTGTCTAGGCTCTGGAAGGGTATCCCAGAGAGAAGTGAACCCCAGTAGTTCACTGCGAGGTGAGTGGGTAGTGGTGATGAGTAACTCAGACTTCCTCTCGCTCTCCCTCCAAATCAACTCAGCATCCAGGTTTACCGCATCTCTGTGACCCAGTGTGGTATGAGATTTGCTGAAGCTTAGCCAAACCTTCTTGCAGTTTGAGCCTGAGACTTGACCCCTTTCATGTTCTTTTCCATTTTACAAAAGGGAACAAATGAGGTAAGAAGGAAGGACTTGGGAGAAACTAGTGATGAGACGCGAACACGATAAAATCCAGATTTCCTTCGTCCCTTTCAGTGCCGCTTTCCACTCTTCCTAATCTTTCCAATTAGGAAGGGTCTTCTAACCATCCTCCACATCCGCGAGGTCGGCGCGCAACACCCCTTTAAGGGGCGGACCTCTCGCCACTCTGACCTCGGCCCTGCCCCCGCTCCCAGGCCGCGCTGCGCCTGCGCCATGCGCCGGCGACCTGGGGTTGGGCAGAACCTAGTTCCGTGCAACTTTCAAGTGAGTTGCAAACTCCGCCCCGAAGGCCGGTGCAGGTGGCCCGAAGCACTGGGATTGCGAGGACCGGCACGAGCGAAGGCCACGAGCTGCCACCCCTGGCCTGGGACCAGCGGCGGCGTTGCTCGAGAGCCGAACGCCCGATTATCCGCGGCAGGAAGTGCCGGTCGGAACTGTAGCTGCCCGAAAGGCGTGGCAGAGGACAGCGCTGCCGGCACCTCGCTCCCAAATCGGCTTCCTCCTTGCTAGGGCCGCCTGGCCCCCAATCAGCAGGTCTGCGTGTTCTTTAGGCTCCTGGCACTGCAGTGTGAGTGGACGGGAGAGTAAAGGTTCGGGCGGTGGGCTCGGTTCCACTAACGGACAGCCAGACGCCCCTTCGGTTCCCGCATCTCCACTGTTCCCCAACCCGAGCCTCCCGCGTGAACGACCCTCTGGGCAACTTCTTGAGGGTCTCCCCTCGTCCCTGAGCTGGCAAGATGGTGTCCCGGATGATCTGTCGTCTGGTGGTGTGAGTATGACCGCTCTTTAGATTCTCCCTACCTCCAGGTACCAACCCGGCCCTGGGGTGGAATCTGGGAACGTCTGGTGGAAATTCTTGGAATGCCAGAAAGGGGACTTTTGAGCACCGTCACACCCCTGCCCCCCAACATTCACTGCAAGGGTTAACGGATCTTAAGGCATGCGTACAGGTGCCAAGTGCTTGACACAGATACCCCCTCCAAGTTTCCTTGGGTGATAGTAACTCACACACATATTACAGAAGCATACATGGGGTGGAGAGTCACAGGCTGGCCTGCAGCCCCTTTGCAAACACAAAATATGGCACCGTTGTGGGTGGAGAATCCAAGTTTCAGCTTCTCATCTGAGTAGTCACATGACTCACCATCCTGGCCTCAGCCTCCCCACTTTGTCCTGCTCCTCACCTTTTAGTACCCTGGCACCTGGCTGGAATATTCCAGTCTGCAGCATGGCAGTGCCAGGTCTGGTGGCCCTGGGCCTGATTGCATGCCCATGGGAGGGGACAGCTTGGTGCTCTTACCAGCTCCAGAGCCTGCCTCCCACCCAGTTCATTGAGTGGCTGTGTGCTCACTCCATCATGCACCCATGGCCCACTGGCACAGGCCTGGGCAGGCTTAGGATGTTTGTAAACAGCAGGGTGGGAAGGTGGCCTCCAGGGCACTGACTCAGGTGCAGGTTGTGCAAGCCAAGCGGGAAAAACAGGCAGGCACTGCCATCTCACATATTAGTGGGGGAGGTGGCCACCTGGCAAAGTGAGGGGTGGGATGTGGGGTCTCTCACCCTCTTCCTTTCCTTTCCGGATGTTCTTCCAGGCTGGTGTTTGGGATGCTGTATCCAGCTTATGCTTCCTACAAGGCTGTTAAGACAAAAGACATTCGTGAATATGTGAGTGTAGGGGTGGGGAAGAAGGCCTGGCTGAGGTAGAGTGGGTTGACAGTCTTGGGGGAGGGTGCATGTCATAGCGTTTGATGCCCACAGGTCTTGGTAACTTGCTGAGGTGGGGAAGCTCTGAGTTGGGCTTCCTCTTCTCCAGGGGCACAATTTGGTGGCATATTCTGAGTGGAGGGGGAGAAAGAAGGCCCATTCAAGTGGGTGTGAGTGGAGTGAGGGATGTCAGTCTGGGCATTGGGGTGACTCTGGAAGATCTTGTGGGTGAAGCCTATTAGGGGTGGGTCCAGGAATGAACAGCATTTTCTCAGAGGTGCCTGTCCAAGGCTAGACAAGCTGTTGGAAGAATGCAATAGTCAGTCTGGAATCTCTTGGGCTGTGTCAGCCAGGGTGAGGGAGGAGACTTAGCTGCTGACCTCTGACCTTTCTGTCCCGCACAGGTCCGGTGGATGATGTACTGGATTGTCTTTGCACTTTTTATGGCAATAGAGATCTTCACAGACATCTTTATCTCCTGGTATGGGTGCAGGAGGTCGGCAGGTTGTATGATAAGGATGGCCCACTCTTGGCCTAGCTCCCTACCTTACTTTGCTCCCCTGTGCTCTGGCAGGTTCCCTTTCTACTATGAGATCAAGATGGCCTTTGTGCTGTGGCTGCTCTCACCCTATACCAAGGGAGCCAGCCTGCTTTACCGCAAGTTTGTCCACCCGTCCCTGTCCCGCCATGAGAAGGTACCCAAGGGGGAGGTGGGGAAGGAGGCATAGGGGTGGGTGTGACTTCAGGACATTGGAAACATCTGGGTTCTAATCTCAGCCCTTCTGCTGTTTAATCATGGGACCTTGACAGGGCCTAGCCTTCCTCATCTGCCATGATAATCAAATAGGGGTTGCATGTGAATGACCTTTTAGAGCCATGATAGGAGATAGACCTGTGGTAGGGGATAGGGCCATGGTAGTTGGATGGGAGCTGGTTTGGAAATGGTAGAGCTGGGTGAGTGGGTGGAGAGCCCTGCTATTTGTATGTGTTCTGGTCCTAAACCTGTACCTCCTGGTACATTGTGGATGAGGGGAGGCCTGGGAGGCATGGCAACCAATGGCATCTCTGGGATCTGCAGTGGAGCAGTGACTCTGGCTGTCCATCTGAACTCTTCTTCCTCGGATCTGCAGGAGATTGATACATACATCGTGCAGGTCAAGGAACGCAGCTACGAGACGATGCTCACCTTTGGGAAGCGGGGCCTCAACATTGCTGCCTCAGCTGCCGTGCAGGCTGCCACCAAGGTGCTGGACCCTCAGCCCTCCAGCAGCAACCCCCCCCCCCACCTCACCCCAGGCTTTTTGGGTGATTCCAGGTCTCTGTCAGGGAGCTGTGAGATAGCATCTGTCTGCTGGAGGAACAGGGGTGAGAAGATGACAGTTGGGTGTTGGCAGGAGTATGGAGCTGGAAGTTTAGGCTTTCCTGGCTCTGACGTTGACTGTGAGCAGGTTGCTCTTCCTCCCTGGGCCTCAGTTTTCTGTTGGTGCCACAAAGGCATGGGACTAGATAGTTGCTGAGTTCCTTTCAGTTCTGAGTCTTGTGTCCCAGTGGTTACTCTCAGCTGAGCCCTTGATTCCTCTGGGCAGCTTCCCACTAGGAGCCCCCATCCCCACCCCTCCCAGATGATTCAGCAGCTCTCTTCCCTTCCTCACAGGGTCAGGGTGCACTGGCTGGCAGGCTGCGGAGCTTCTCCATGCAGGACCTGCGCTCCATCCCTGACACCCCTGTCCCCACCTACCAAGATCCCCTCTACCTGGAGGACCAGGTGCCTCGCCGGAGGCCACCCATTGGTAAGTGGACCCAGGCACTCAGAGCTGTCCTGGGAGGAGTGGCTTTCCTCCATGTAGGCTGTGGCTTCACTCAGGGCTAGAGGAAGAGCTGGCTAAGCCCTGGACCTCTAAATTGTACAGTGTCAAGCTTCACCTCACCCTGATCTCGCTGTCCTTCACACAGGGTACCGAGCAGGAGGCCTTCAGGATAGTGACACAGAGGATGAGTGTTGGTCAGATACTGAGGCTGTCCCCCAGCGGCCAGCCCGGCCCCGAGAGAAGCCTCTGAGCCGCAGCCAGAGCCTGCGTGTGGTCAAGAGGAAGCCACTGGTGAGGGAGGTGAGTAGCAAGGAATATGTGAGGGAGGTGGGTTTCCCTGGCTCTTCCAGCCCAAGCCTCTCATGGGATACCTTCTCCCTCTTCCCCAGGGAACCTCACGATCTCTGAAGGTTCGGACAAGAAAAATGGCAGTGCCATCAGACATGGAGAGCTAGAGTCTGAGGACTCTGGTCCAGTCTTACCTTGTGTCCTGCAGGGGACTAATGGCCATTTTGAGGGGATGTTTGGCCTGCCTGCATCATCAGCTGCCTCAGCTCTGCTCCTCCTGGCTTCTGCTGTTGGTTAAGGACCAAGGGTAGATGCTGCCAGGGGCTACACCCAGGGATGCATCCACAATGTACCAAAGCAGGCTGGTCCAAGGTTTTATTTATTGCCTTCCTCATCCCTCTACCTTCCTTAGGTATGGGACCAGACCTCCTCCCCGACCCTAAAAATGAAACCAAAAGCTATGTTCATTTAGCTATGTTCATTCAGCTATGTTCATTCAAAATACTTGACAGGCCTTTTCCAAGGCCCTTGTGTGTGTGTGTGTCCTGGTTGTATGCCTTGTGTTGGTGAATGAGGTCAGGCTTGTGAAAGTTTTGATAAATAAAGACATAAAAATGTTCTCCTTCTCCTGGTTTGTATCCCACTCAATCAAACATCAACCATCAGGCATTTATTAAACAGACTAGGCTGAGCACTAGGACTAAAATGACAGACCCTGAGGAACCCACAGTCTTCTGGAGGGGACAGAGCCATCAATAAATAATTACACTGAGGCAACGGCTGTGATGGAAGAGCTCTTTGGGAACTCTCTGAACAGTTCCCAAGTGGGGTCACAGTCTGAGAGGACCTCAGTCAGGAGGAGATGGTATTGGGCCTTTGAAAGAAAGGTGCAGTTGTATAACAAGTAGAGAAACCAGTGGTAGCAAAGGTGTAAAAGGTGATTGGGGAAGCACATTACTTGGCTGAGGGTGTAATTGGAGTTTTGTACAGATTGAGCCTGTTGTTGTTGTTGTTATGTGCCGTCGAGTCGGCCCTGACTCATAGCGACCCCTCCTTGGGTTTCCGAGGCAGTATCACTACGGAAGTAGCATTGCCCAACCTTCCTTCCGAGGAGTGGCTGGTGGGTTTGAACCGCCAGCCGTCTGGTTAGAGGCAAGTGTCTTAGCCACTATGCTACCAGAGCCTGGGGAGACCTAATTCTTCCATAAACTGGGGGTTTCCAGGTAGCACAGGGGCCATTGAGTTCCTATAACACTCTGGAAAAATCGGGAAACATTGTAACTTTGAAGAGTAGCCAGGAGAGGGCAGCAGCTGCCAGGGTCTGGGCTGTCCCCAGCTTCCAGGTCAAGGAGGGCGGGGTTTGGAGGCTGGCCAGAGTCTCGCCCTGCTGGGTCCTGGCCAACCGCTAGCTGGAGAGACCATGCAGAACTCTTCAGGGTTTCCAGTGGCCCTCCCTGCCCCTTGTGGTCACTGGTCCTCTGCCTGTGACATCCATGGCTCTCTTCTCAGCTGGCTCTCTGCTCTCTTGACACCCTGACACTGCCTAGGCTGGCTCCATCTCATCCCCCGTTCTAATCCCTGAAGCAGCCAGCAGCCCTCTACTGCCCTCTCCTGCCCCTGGATGCTGGTCTCACTGCTGTGTCCCAGGGAGGCTCCCCTCATCACCTACCACTGGTTTCTCTACTTGTTAATTTTATAGGCGCATGAGGAGTCCTTGGTATGTCTAACAAGGACTCCTTTCCTACTTTTGATTAAGTGAAGAGATGGATGAGAGGATTGGATAGGAATAAGGGAAATGGGTGGTAACCTGGAGTGGCCTGAGAGAGTGTGGATTAACTCTTGGTGTGGGGATTATCCATGTTTTATTTGGGGGGAGGAGCTTAATCTGCTGGGGTGGTTTAGCTCCTCACATATGGGGGTGTTGAGGCTTCCTATCATGGTGTTCCCTTGCATCATGGTGCTACCTTACCTCCACATTCATTCATTCAGAAAATCTTTCTTGAGTGTCTGCCATGCACCAGGCACCATACTAAATGATGTAGGGATATAAGAACCAGCAATGGCTTGCACTGGAATGCAATTGCCATGCCAAGACACTGCTCTAAACCCCTGATATATATTAATTTAATCCCAAGAAAGCTCTGGTAGCGTAGTGCCTAAGGCACTTGACTGCTAACCAGAAGGCTGGCGGTTCAAACCCACCAGCCACTCCTTGGAAGGAAGGTTGAGCAATCTACTTCTGTAGTGTTACCACCTCGGAAACCCAAGGAGTGGTCGCTGTGAGTTGGGCCCAACTCGATGGCATGTAACAACAGCAACAACAAATCCTCCCAATAATCTCATGGTATAGGTACTATTATTATTATCTCCATTTTCAAATGGAAAAGCAGGCACAGAGAGCAAGCAAGTAATTTGGCCAAGGTTACACAGCTAGTAGTGTCAGAATTAGGTTTAGAATCAGGAAGTCTGGCTCCTTAGTCAGTGCACTTAAACATTGCACAATACTGAAGTGAATAGGATGCTTCTTGCCTGGGAGGCAAGAAGTTGACTAACAGATATTGAGCGTTTGATGTGTGTCTGATTTTCTGCTGGGCATTTTATAGTCATTATTTCCTTGAGTCCTCCCAAGAAGACTGTGAAGTAAGGGTTATACCCATTTTACAGATAAAACCACTGAGGCTCAGAGAGGTGAAGCAATTTGTTCGTAAGTGTTCTGCCTGTCCATTAGAGACACTGTCTTCAGATTCGCAGCCTGCCCAGGGGTTGGCTTGGTATAAGTGGTCTGGGGGAATGCACACACCTGAGCTGAATGAACAAAACATGACTTGCAGAGCATATAATAAGCAAAATGAAACAAAAATTCAAAAGAAAGAAGGGTGGCATGAAGCCTGAAGTTGTGGGGTAATAGAGGAGGTTTCACTGGGGCTGAGTCTTCGTGTGCCCTCATTCCTAGGACAAGTGCTTAGAGTAGGCAACAGGGTTTCTTGGGTTTCTTTGCTGAGTTGATGCTTTCTCAGACTCCATGATCTCCAACTCACCCCTCCAGCCTCATCACCAGCCTGGCTGCCCCACGAACCCTGCCTTCAACCATGCAACTATTTCTGCCTCCTGAACACACCACACTGATTCCAACTCCAGGCCATTGCCCAGGGTGAATGACCATCCTGCTCTCCAGTCTTGCTTCCTCGGCCTGTCATGGTCATCTTTAAGACCTGCTTTCTCCAAGAAGTCTTTCCTCACTAAGGGACCCCTCCTCAAACTCCCATGGCTCTTGATTCCTGGCCCCATGCTGAGCTCACAATGCCTTGGGCTGCACTGGGGTGCCTAACGCTTTCCTTCTCTCTTCCAACTGGCTTTCCTTACACTCCCTATGCTTAGTGTCTCCAACTTATCAACAGACTGTTGCATGCCTCTACACATCTGGTGCATGCTGTTCCCTCTTGACATGTTCCCACCCCAGCTCTCTGTTCTTTTCCTATTTGACCTTCAAAACCCCACTAGGATATCACCTCCCCTGAGGAAGCCCTCAGAGACCACCCAGATCCCTCAGAGTTGACTGTTCATCATCTCTTGCACAGATTTCTGGTATAGTCTTGAGCACATTGTACTCTGTCCCCTATTGTGCTATGACTTGAAGAAGAAGAGATTTGCATCTTACTCACTTTTGTGTCCCAGCTTGGAACAAATGGTAGTTTAACAAAGTGAAATATTTGTGTAAATGTGTGGCTCTATAATAAAGGCTGACTTATTCTCTAAGACTTCTGAGCTCTCTGGAGCTCTCCTGATTTCCCCAGGGTGGGGCTGAAGCACTTTGTAATCATTTGTTAATAGGCCTGACTCTCCCCACCTCCCCCCCCCAACCATCACCCCACACAGAGCCTATACCCAGCACAGAGCCTGACACTCAAGAGGCCTCAATGAATATTTGTTGGTAAAAGAAAAAAATCCACTTAAGTGACTATAAGCTCCTCAAGGGTTAGGATGGCCATGTCCTTTTGACTTTGTGCCTTGTCTTTTCTTGGTGTCCACCACAGAGCCTTGAAAATGCCAGAGTCTCTGTAATACATACTTGGTAAATGGCTGACTGCAGTTATATTGGTTCCAAGGCAACTTGGGGCCAGAGGGGGAAGAGCACAGAGAATTCCAAGTTCTGGGGCATTTCTGGCCAAGCAAATGTGTGATCCTGAGGCTTGGGGCATTGAGTGTTGGCTAGTGTTCCCTCAAAGCCTATGCTGTCCCTCTGAGAGTTACCAAGGCCAGCAGAGGATAAGGTCTCTGGTCTACCCTTTACCCACTCTGGCCTAGTCTCTAAAGGAAGCCCTCAACCTTCTACTTTCCACCAATGGGCCCTCTGCTTCCCCAGGCAGGGTCAGGTTTGGACACTGGTTCCACCAATTTGCCTGGGACACTGATATTCCAGATTCCATACTGGGCACTGGGTAGGCAGAGGAAACAGCCAATACCAGCCCTCTTGGAAGCAACACCTCTGATTGGTTCTGGTACCAGCCCCACTGGGTGTGAAGCCTGGGCTCACTCATCAGCCTCCCTACCCACTCCTTGCCTGCTTCTGATGAACTCCTCTGTTTCCTCCAAGATCCCAGATGCAGATGTCTCCTTCATTGTCTGTCCTCCCTTCTTCCTTCCTCCACCTCCATAACATCACTTGGACCTTCAAGGTTGTTCCTTTGTCTCCCTGCCTCTTCATAACCCCTCATTGTCCCTCTAGGCCTGTGGCCCTTTCCTGTCCTTGTTTGTCTGTCTTTCCCTGCTTCTTGTCTCCATGTGCCCAGCATACACATGGCCCCACTGCTATATTTTTAGTTGCCACTCTTGGCGGGCCTCTTGTTTTGTTATTAGCCTCTTGTTTTAACACAGCCCTAGCCCAGGCTGAGTTGGGGAGTCCTAGTTGACATCACCCTACCCTTAAGGCATTTGAGGAGATGAGCACTCAGGCTCTCACCCCCTGTCCCTCACCCAGCATCAGGGACTGGGACATCGAGTAGCTGAGTAGGGGACAGAAGCCAGGCAGAAAGATGATGCCTGATGCTCTGAAAATCCTGGGGGCTAAAGCTGGTGTTCTAGCAAAAAGGTCCTGAGCCTAGGGCAGAATGGAGGGTGCATTCTCTACCAGGGTGGTTAGATCTTAGGGGTTGGGGCTGGAGAGGAA